GCAAGCCAGGGGGAGCAAGCTGGTAAGCAGCACTCCTCCCTGGTCTCTGTTTTAGTTGCTGCCTTGAGCTCCTGCCTTAATTTCCCTTCATGACCTACAGAAGTTGTAAGCTGAAATGTCTCCCCTCCAACATATGGCTCATGGTGTTTAGTACAGATCTAGAAAGTAAACTAAACAATACTTTTTAAGATTCTTTTCTTGTGACCTTGAAGTACAACGGATCTGTTGCTCTGTGCTCTGTTTATAATTTTTGCTATTGTTTTATGATATTAAAACCTATGAACACACTCACATGACAGAAAGGAGGAACAAATATATTCATTTACCCATATACCCCTGAACCAGTGGACCAGAGCTTCAAACCCCCAGCAAATTCAGACCTCAGGACCCAAATACTTAACTCTCTACTCCTCATATTTCCAGACAGAAGATGTAAGAAGTAAGGCAATTTTTCTAAGTATAGATGTAGAGCTGACCCAGTCCAGCTTTTGTTCCCTGTGACTCTCAAAGGAACCACCTCTCCAAAGGAGATGGCTGTTGTGGTCTGAACTTAATGAACTAGGAGAGAGGTCTGCTCACTGCCAAACCTGTCTTCACGCTGAGCCACACATTCTGAAGAACTCAGCTCCCAACCCGGCAAGGGCTGAGGTAGCCTCTGTGAATGTGGGAGATTTCCAGGCATAGAATGTAGACTAGAAGCCAGCCTCTGGTGACTTTATTCTGCCGTGCTCTGTGCTCAGGAACAGTGACATAAAAGGTGTCCTCCCATTAACCCTTCATGTCTTTTTTTTTGTTCTGGATTTAGAGCACCCACACTCAGATTATTTTTAGAAGCCATGAGGAATCAGAAGTCATCCCTGTTCATAGAGAGCACAGATGCCAACTTCAAAAGCAGCCCTGGTTCCGCCCTTTGCAGGACATTCTGGGGCACTGGGCTCAGCAGAAGGGAGAACACAAAGGCTAGAGATCTTTCCTTTCTCTCAAATACTTACTTTCTCCCTCCCCACCCCGCTCCCATGGCAAGTTAAAACTCCCCCCTCCTCATTTTCCCTGCAAAGTGGGGAGGACCCAGCCGCCATCTCTGCCTACAGGAGTCTGGGAAACCCGTCCAGCCTACTCTAGTCACCTTCCCACCGTCTACCAGATTCTTTCCAGCACACTCAATCAGCAGCAGGAACACCAGGCAGCAGTGAGGTCTGGAAAGACCCACACAAACTGTGGGTGCCCTTCACCAGATCATTCCAGTCAGATCCCAGGCCCTTGGGTCTGAGGACCCTCAGTCACAACACTTCCTCCTTTCTGTGTCTAGGAGAGTCTGCTTTAGAGTCAGAGAATGAGGAAGTCTAGGCTGTTTGAGATCAGTACCTCCCAAAACTGCAGAGTGGATGCTAAGACCTGGAAAGTTGAAACACTTTTGTGAAGTCACCAAGCATGACCATGTCATAGTGTGTTATTTTCGAGACCCTTCCAAGTTGCTATATTTTTGGATCTTTTTTCGTTCTTTCTTTGGTTTTTTGAGGCAGGGTTTCTCTGTAGCTTTGGAACCTGTCCTGGAACTCGCTCTGTAAACCAGGCTGGCCTCAAAACCACAGAGATCCACCTGCCTCTGCCTCCTGAGTGCTGAGATTAAAGGCGTGCGGCACCACCACCCAACTGTTTTTGAATCTTAAAAGTCCAAATGTACATGTGTTGAAAGTAGTACCAGCCAGTTCTGGTACTACTGGGAGGCAGGAGAATTTTTAGGAGGTGGGGCCTGGCAGAAGAAAGTTTGGTCACTGAGGCTAATGCCCTTGAAGGGAATACTGGGACTCCCATCCCTCCTCCTCCTTCTCTTTATTTCTTGCTAGTTATGAAATGAAAAAGCTTTCTCTGTCATACACTCTTGACATGTTTTCACAAGCACAGAAACACCTTGTACTAAAGCCTCTGAAGCCATGAGCTAAAAGAAACCTTCTTTCCCTTTGACTATCTCAGGACTTTATTCCAGTACTACGAAGCTGACTAGCACACGAGTATTGCTATAGAAAGACACTGTAGGCAGACAGGGAGCAATGCTAGGAAACTTGGTTGGCCAGAAAGCTCACATGCATGTCAATGGACATTACTCTGTTCTGACTGTCCTGTCCTAAATAAACGCACAGAGGCATATCTATCTATCTATCATCTATCTATCTATCTATCTATCTATCTATCTATCTATCTATCTATC